ATATTGGAAAAAGAATTACACTTACTGTGCTAATAATTTTCTACAATATTATTATAAAATCCCATTATTGTTGGTCCTGAATAATCAGTTTTTCGTTCAAATATTTCTTGATATAAAGTATTTATAGCTGTAGAAGATGAACTCACCAATTCTGTACAAACTCACCATAATGTAAGTCAGAAACCAAAATACTCTCCATTATAAGATTTGTAAACTGTTGCGACATGAATATGGACTATGCAATTGACATTTGGTAGCAATAAGATAGTATGTGATATAGTTTATTATTTTGCACAATTTATTTTATTATATATCAAGAAAATACATATTCATTAAAGAGTAAATTAAAATAATAATTAAATAATAATAATTAAAGTAATGATAATTAAATTAATAAATTAAATGTATTATTTAAGTATTAAAAATAAGGTTTTAATGCAGTCTTTATTTTATTAAAGAAACAATATTGAAAATGATTTTAATAATTCTAAAAAAAATAACATTTAAATAATAATGTAAATAAGTAGGCATTTTTATTCATATTGTTAATTATCCAGTTACTTAAGTCTTTGATTCATTTGGTTAATAGAAAAATTTGTTCAGACAATTTTATCTTTTCTAAATTCAGCATTAGAGGTAACATTATTTGAAAAAAGGTTCTTTCGCTGAATATTCTAATTAATTTTAACTAATTTTACAATACAAAATGAGCAATTAAAGTTAAGAGTGAAATTTATATCTATCATTGCACATGAGTTTAGAATTATGCGGTCTATTTGAAAATGACTTATGACCTGATGTAAATTCCATATTAGCATTCTAAAACTATACACGTCTGAAGATTTGCTAATTATTTGATTCTAATTCTAATAAATTATTAAAATCTACTAATGCTTCATTATACATTTTTATATGTTTCCCTTCGTGACCTTAATACAAGAAACAATAGATAAGTTTCTTCCCGTAATCTCAATGCAAGATAATTATTTGGTTCTAATTCTAACTAATGATTAAAATCTGCTAATGCTTCAAATGCTCCATTATACATTTCTAACTTTCGATAAGTTTCTCGTAAGAGCATGTTAAATCTGTTAATGCTTTAGATAGATTCTCCTCGTGACCTTAACGCAAAAGCATTGTTCAATGCCTTACTAAAATCATTGATGCTTCATAATACTTTTCTAACTTTTGATAAGTTTCTCCTCACAATCTTAATGCAAGATAATTATTTGTTTTATTTCTAATAATTTATTAAATTCGTTAATGCTTCATCATACTTTTTAACTTTAGATAGGTTCTTTACGCAAGAATATTGTTTGTTTCTTTTTTAATGCTTTACTAAAATCTGTTAATGCTTCATCATACTTTCCTAACTTTTGATAAGTTTCCCCTCGTAATCTTAATGCAAGATAATTATTTGGTTCTAATTCTAATAATTTATTAAAATCTGTTAATGCTTCATTATACATTTCTAACTTTTGATAAGTTTCTCCTCGTAATCTTAATGCAAGAGCATTATTTGATTCTAATTTTAATAATTTATTAAAATTTATTAATGCTTCATTATAATTTTTTATCTTTTGATAAGTTTCTCCTTGTAATCTTAATGCAAGAGTATTGTTTGAATCTTTTTTCAATACTTTTTTAAAATCTGCTAATGCTTCATCATACATTTTTAACTTAGAATAGGTTTTTCCCAGTGACCTTAATGCAAGAGTATTTTTTGGTTCTTTTTTCAATGCCTCACCAAAATCCATTGATGCTTCATAATACATTTCTAACTTTAGGTAAGCTTCCCCTCGTAACCTTAATGCAAGAGCATTATTTAGTTCTATTTCCAATATTTCATTATACTTGACAATAATTTCTTTATGTAAATCTCGATTACTTGGTTCTAATTCTAATAATTTATTAAAATCTGTTAATGCTTCATTATACTTTTCTAACTTTTGATAAGTATCTCCTCGTAATCTTAACGCAAGATAATTATTTGGTTCTAATTCTAATAATTTATTAAAATCTGTTAATGCTTCATTATACATTTCTAATTTTTGATAAGTATTTCCTCGTAATCTTAACGCAAAATAATTATTTGGTTCTATTCCCAATATTTCACTATACTTGTAAATAGTTTCTTTATGCAAATCTCGATTATTTGGTTCTAATTCTAATAAGTTATTAAAATCTGTTAATGCTTTATTATACATTTTTAACTTTTGATAAGTTTCTCCTCGTTCTCTTAATGTAAGATAATTATTTGGTTTTATTTCTAATAATTTATTAAAATCTGTTATTGCTTCATTATACTTTTTTAACTTTAGATAGGTTTCCCCTCGTGACCTTAACGTAAGAGTATTTTTTGGTTCTTTTTTCAATACTTTACTAAAATCTATTGATGCTTCATTATACTTTTCTAACTTTAGATAAATTTCTCCTCGCGACCTCAATGAAAGAGTATTGTTTGGTTCTAATTCTAATAATTTATTAAAATCTGCTAATGCTTCATTATATATTTCTAACTTTTGATAAGTTTCTCCTCGTAATCTTAATGCATGATAATTATTTGGTCTTATTTCTAATAATTTATTAAAATCTGTTAATGCTTCAACATAATTTTTTAACTCTAGATAAGTTTCCCCTCGTGACCTTAACGTAAGAGTATTGTCTGGTTCCTTTTTCAGTGCTTTACTAAAATCTATTGATGCTTCATTATGATTTACTAACTTTTGATAAGTTTCTCCTCGTGACCTTAATGCAAGAGCATTGTTTGGTTCTAATTCTAATAATTTATTAAAATCTGCTAATGCTTCATTATACATTTCTAACTTTAGATAAGTTTTTCCTCGTAATCTTAATGCGAGAGTATTGTTTGGTTCCAATTTTAATAATTTATTAAAATCTGTTAATACTTTATTATACATTTCTAACTTTAGATAAGTTTCCCCTCGTAACCTTAATGCAAGAGCATTATTTGGTTCTATTTCCAATATTTCATTATACTCGTCAATAATTTCTTTCTGCAAATCTCGATTGTTTGGTTCTAATTCTGATAATTTATTAAAATCTGTTAATGCTTCATCGTACTTTTTTAACTTTTGATAATATTTTCCTCGTTCTCTTAATGTAAGATAATCATTTGGTTTTAATTCCAATATTTTAGTAAATCTTGTTATTATTTCATTATGCATTAATTCTATTGATTTTTTTAAATCTGTTAATGCTTTATTATATATTTTTAACTTTTGATAAGTTTCTCCTCGTAATTTTAATGTAAGATAATTATTTGGTTTTATTTCTAATAATTTATTAAAATCTGCTAATGCTTCAACATATTTTTTTAACTCTATATAGGTTTCCCCTCGTGAACTTAACGTAAGAGTATTGTTTGGTTCTTTTTTCAGTGCTTTACTAAAATCTATTAATGCTTCGTTATATTTTTCTAACTTTTTATAAGTTTCTCCTCGTAATCTTAACGCAAGAGCATTTTTTGGTTCTAATTCTAATAATTTATTAAAATCTTTTATTGCTTCATTATACATTTCTAACTTTAGATAAGTTTCTCCTCGTAATCGTAATGCAAAAGCATTTTTTGGTTTCATTTCTAATAATTTATTAAAATTCGCTAATGCTTCATCATACTTCTTTAACTCTAGATAGGTTTTCCCTCGTGAACTTAACGTAAGAATATTGTTTGGTTCTTTTTTCAGTGCTTTACTAAAATCTATTAATGCTTCATTATATTTTTCTAACTTTTGATAAGTTTCTCCTCGTAATCTTAACACAAGAGCATTGTTTGGTTCTAATTCTAATAATTTATTAAAATTTGTTATTGCTTCATTATACATTTTCTAACTTTAGATAAGTTTCTCCTCGTAATCTTAATGCATGATAATTATTTGGTTTTATTTCTAATAATTTATTAAAATCCGTTAATGCTTCAACATATTTTTTTAACTCTTGATAGGTTTCCCCTCGTGAACTTAACGCAAGAGTATTGTTTGGTTCTTTTTTCAATGCTTTACTAAAATCTATTGATGCTTCATTATAATTTCCTAACTTTTTATAAATTTCTCCTCGTAATCTCAATGCAAGAGCATTATTTAATTTTAACAGGGACATTTCACTACGCTAATAATAATTTTGCTTGAACAGGAATTTTAACTTTTTTTTTTTACAACAAATAAAAAATTAATAAATATTGCGCCAGTGAAACAAAAAATAAAATATGTAAATATTTATTTTAGGTTGTGCAAATTACATAATCAAAATTATCAAACTGCCACTTAGAATTAGTTTCGGATCATATTTTCATTTTTTATTATCACTTCAGAATTTGAAGCTTCTGTTTTGGTAAATCATTTATCTTAACATTGTCATTAATTAAATATACTGCTAATATTTTCTAATATCTATTACCTTTGTTTAAAGAAATCTTTTTTTCTTTTTCCACAAAATCAATTATAACAATGTTGCGGCATCAGAATATCAGGCAAATTTATTTTATTATAGATATTCTTAATTTATTTATTTAACATTTCTTTCTTTTACTCTTACAAAGCAAAATATATTTATATATTGAACCGACGGAAATTATTGAATCGGGAAGATTAATTTTTGGTTATTAACGCAAATGAAACTATCTTTCCATTTTCATTATCTTATTTATATGATTCGAAAAATATATATTTGTTTATAACTATAACTATCAAAATGGTTAATGTATTTTTTTTTTAGTCAATATAAATAAATCAAACTCAAAAATTAACTTCTCCCAGACCGGTTTATAAAAAATTTAGTTCATTCTAGAATCGATACTTTCAGCGAAATCCCAATCTTTGCTCACCAATCATGATATTCTAGCCGAGCCGTGACTGTGAAAACCGTTCAGTGACAAATAAATGTCCGTACTGGAGAAAATTTAAATTTTCTTACCAATAAAAAGATTCCATTAATAGAAAATGTCGTGTTTTATTGAAAAAAAAATAGAGCTAAAAATATAAATGCCAAATATACTTAATGTATTATATGCTATAATTAATTCATCAAATTTATTCACGGTAAAGAATTATTAAATACTAGAATATAAAATTAAAATGCACAAGATATTAACTAAGAATAATTAATTTAAACAATTTCGAAGTTATTCTAGAAGGAAATAAACCGTAATTCATTTTTCTTCATCTTCAAAACCGGTTCTATTGAGTCATACTTCCAATATAACCAATTTTTTTGAAACATCTGAAATCCCACCGCGTTAATATATTATTCCCTTTGTTGGATCTTTTAATATAAGGAAATGTAATATTTTAAAAATCAAATATATATAGTGTGTGTTGTGTTGTGTGAAAAAAATTACAAAATAATTCTACGAAAGTCACGATTTCAAAAATTCATTCATCGTTTGATTCCTTTTAATTGATCGTTTGTTTTGATTTTATAATATTTTTATATCCAAATAAGCATAAAGATAATTCCTTCCTTTTTTATTTAACTAATGAAATCGCTTCAGTTCTTGAGTAACGAGATATTGTATAAATTTCCTTTTCTTTGTTATAAATTGTACATCATCGAATCAATCATCATCGATCATCATCGATCATCATGCGAGAAAAGAAAGAGAACAATAAGAAAGAGAACAAGAAGCATATGAACGAGAACAAATAGAGGAGGGAAATGAAAAAGAACGTGTTAGGAGGGAACAAGAAGAACGTCAACAAAGAGAAGTATGTTTTTATACATTCCAAAAAATTTTTTGGTCATATTAGAATATTTGATATTATTATAGGCAGAAGAAGCAGAAGCAACTCAGGTATGTATCAGTTATATAAAACACATCCTTTTTAAATAAATTCTCCATAAATTCTTTAAGAATAGAAAGCCCTTGGGCGTACTCTTTTTAATTTCATTATATTACCTTAATCAATCTACTCTAATTTAATTCTAATTTAATCTAACTTCAATTTAATTTTAATTTTTTAAATAATTAGCCGAAGGTAATGAATTAAAATTAGAAGAAGAGACATTATTAAAGTTGATTGATGATGGATGGTAGCAAGGTACTACTGGAGATAATAGTACACGTAATGAAATATTCCTAGGGAAATTTAGAGAAAAGAATGTTGTGTTTATTATATTATATTTATTCATTGATCCAGTTATTTATATTAATAAATTATTTTTGAAAAATTATTTTTATAGCGAAATAATAAGTTGCTGGTTATAATGTGAATTAAAATTTTGATGAGGTACCAAATCACCTTCGTTTTAATACTCTACTTTTTTTTTAAAATATTTTCTTAACGTTGAGAATAGAATCATTAATTATCGGTTTATAATAAAAGTATGAGGTTGAACAACAAGAACATCACCAAGCCTTGTCTTTAGGCTTCATGTGATTACGTTGCGGGCCTAATGAGATTTCATTGAGGAAAAGCACATCTTACCGATATTGATTTTGTATCAAAATATTAGTGGCAAGGTACAGAAGAAGGTTTTTTGAAATCAATTCGTCCATACCAAAATGAATAAGTTCTGAGGTAGTTGCGTGTCTTACTCACAAGCTGATTAAACTTAGGTATCACGTTTGAACTTTTCATTTTCCGATGCATCAAAGGATTTTTGAAAAATATTTCGCATTCCTAAAAGAGTTTCTATCTCATCAATTAAACAAAATAACATTTATTTTACAGAAGCTGGAACTAAAACTTAACTAATACGAATCATGAAATATGATCCTTAATAATCGAAATCAGTATATATATTATTGGGAAAGGTGTGATCGAGAAGGATTTCCATTTAACAACGTCAAAAAGTCAAAAATAATTATTTATTTGAATGTTTTTTTTCTTTTGTTATTATTAAAAAAAATTTTCTCCTTTTCTTTATAGGTGATAAACATATAATGAACTATTTGTAAAAAATGATATTGGGAAGTTAATATAATTACTCAACATGTGAGAACTCATGCAGGAGGAAACACCATTTAAATTCCACAACCTGGATGTGATAAAACCTTTTCGATTTCTGGAGCACTTACCATACATTTACGAGTACATAAAGGTAATTTGTTTTTTCTTTTGGCAGATAAAAATACGTATAAATACTACTCAGAAGAAATTGTTAATAATAATTTAAAATTTCGTAGGCGAAAAACCATTTAAATTTAAATTCAAAGGTATATTAAATGGAACCATCAAATCTCACCAAACATGTAAGTTATTAATTTATTCTCTCTGCTTGTCATGCCTTGTCTTTTTTTTGAAAAAATACAGGACATATATATTCTATATTTATACTAATTTGATATTTTCTTTTATAATTATTTTAAAGATACACGTTCGTATCCATTTAAATGTCCGGTTGGAACTTGTAATAAAAAGTTCTCAAGATCGGATCTAATGGCTCACTTTTGTGTATTGGTAATATTTTATATTAATTTCCTTTCGTTATCTTATAATAATTGTATCAAGCAAATACCTGATATTGGAACAAAATGAGTAATAATAATAATAATAAAAAGGAAAATATTATTAAAACCAATCATAGCAATAAAAGATAAAATAATAATAATTACCCATATGAATTAAATGTTATCCATAAGTACAATAAAGAAATAATCACGTTAAACCAATTGTTTGTATTCCGGTAATGAGAAAAATGGAAGAGATCTTTCGAATAAAAAATAAAGTAATAAATAATTGGGATAAATAATAAAGAGTAACGATTCACCTCTTTTTTGAACTAAAATTTGAGTTATTAACCACCTTAATCCACTAATTATTGATGCCTCTAGAATCAACAAAAATTAAATCCAATTAAATTAAATTGGACTTCTCATCACCACTCCAATACTTATTATTGATATTATAAATACTAAAAAAATCATTCCGAATTGTTCCAATCTAAATATAAATGTGAATGTAAGAACCCAAACTGGTGTTGATTATTTTATCTATTTGATCATTAAATTGTTAATCATTATTAAATGAATTGAATTATCTGTAATTAAATTGAATATATAAAGAAGTGATTTAATCAATATATCCAGAGTGAAAGTAATTGAATTGAATTATCCAGAAGTGAAAGTAATTGAATTGAAAATATAAAGAAATGAAAGTAATTGAATTGAAATTGTCACAAAGTGAAAGAGTAATAATTATGATCATTAAAGTTAATCGTTGATAATAATAATAATAATAATTAATTTTTAATTTTCTTATCATGATATAAAACTCAAAGTAACAAACACAAGTGAAGCATTCGCCATACATATTTCAAAGGCTGCACCGGGAGCACATAGATATGAATTCCAGATTATCTTTCAAGATATTTAAGAAAGTTGAAAATATTACAGTCCTTAGAATCATAGGTGTGCACATAATTATCAAAAAAAGAAAGAGGATTACTGTTAGTAACATAATTTAATAGAATGATATGTCAGATAATTACAAATAAAAATAAATTGTTAAAGTGCCACAATATAATATTCTGGAAAGAGGGCCCAGACTGAGACACTAAGAGCCATGTAACGAGTCATAGCGATTTACCCACAGCACTCGAATCCAAACATCGGCCAAAGGGCTGAACCATATGGACGTAGGATATTACATTGTCGGTATACTGGAGTAGAGGCCCAGGCTGAGGCACTGAGAGCCATTACAAGCATGTAACGAGTCATAACGATTTACCTACAGCACTCTAATCCAAGCATCGGCCAAAGAGCTGAACCGTATGGGCGTAGGATACCGCCAACATTTATAACCATGCGAAAAAGTCACTTAACTGAATAGATGTTCATTAGAATAACGACACAAGAATAATAATAATTCGTCTGTTGTATTTAAAATATCTAATTCATTAAAATTAAAATAATTCGAAGACACAAGGCGCGTCAAATAATTACACGATGATCTAATCATTCTGATTTGTCACATGATCAGATTATGTATTACTTCAAACGTTTTAAAAATCAATTTTTATGATGAAATAAACAATTATTAATTTAATAACGATACAAAGATGTATAATACATGCGATAGAATTTACGTTGTCAATTGCACGTGAAATGTGTCGCAATTATCCCACGAAAGATTTAATCCGCTAGATCCTACCCTCCCAATTTCACTGAATAAATCGTAAATTTTCTGAGCTCTCTCTTTTCTCTTCGTAGTGAGGTTTCCATGGTAGGTATTCCAAAATGTTTGTGGAGCTAAACCATCTCTAGTTCCATGTAAAATTAAATTTATAGGTCGTCGGATAAGTAGTTGTTTCACGATCAATCCAAATAGAGATTTCTGTCACTAACTGAGCTTAACTTATTTATTAACTCTGCACGTTTTGGATTATTTTGAAATAATCATATCTATCCTCAAGCGCTTTACCAAAATCGTAGTAACGCTTAATCACAACTTGATTCTGCTCTTCAGCCTATTACAAGATATAAATCGTGTACGTTTCAATAGATAACTCCTCAATAAGTTTTCTTCGCTATATTGATTCCTTCTTCTCATCACTCTTTTTAACTTTTTTAGTGGACTGTTCAGTTGCCGGGAGCTTATTTGTTGAAACGTTTGACGAACGATGTAGCAAAATTTAATAAGGCCGTGGTAAAATTAATAAATATATTAACGAAACAGGTAAATTGTAACACTTGTGATTGGGCTGTTTTCTATGAATGAAAATATGTTTAATTTTTAATTATTTTTATCTTAGCATAAGAATTAAAAATTGAATTTTCATCATACTTGATAGGGTCAAATTATCATGCACCAAGTTAATCGAAGACTTATTGCTCGATCCTCCATGTTAACTTGCTTAGTCGAAAAAATTATCCTCGATCAAACACAAATCCCTCAATTATCGTGAAGTTTGTCACCACTATTTTTTGCTATCGTATAATACTCGCGTGCATACTCTCTAATAACGATACTTGCGGAGTAGATTAGACACTAAGGATATTTTATTGCACTTATTGCTCCCTGAATAATATGTTTTTCCGTTGGGTGAATTATGTGTGCACACTAAATGCTTGAAGGGAAATGATAAAATTTCTTTTCCACAATCGTAACATGGATCATGCTTCGGGACTTCCTTATCATTAATATTTCTTTAATGTTTTGTAAAAAAAATTTAGTGAAAATGTGTGAAAGTGCTTTTAGTTTGGGCTATCATTGATTTTAGTCATTTTGAATTACCCACCTTTTCACAACTTCGCACGTACCTATATATTTTTGTACATATTGTAACAACAGAAATCACTGACTAAGAATGGTATTCACATCGTTATTCCTCCCAAGGTTCTTTTTGTTATTGCACAATGTCCACGAAAAATGTGGTTTTTATGAACCTTCGATTGTGTAACCACATGATTTTTTTTTTACTGATCGTCACGTTCGATTAAGATCTAAAAAATAAATGTTTTATCATACTTTATCATACTTTTGCGAATGCTTTCCCTATCGATATTATCGATATTGTAAAAACAAACTTATTGAACATCAATCAAGGATGCTTTCAGGGCAAATAAGCTTATCAATTTCACTAGCGTTGATGCAGACAAGCTCAAATGGAAATTCTGACGGTCAGCTGGCTGAACTTATAGACCAAGACAAAACTGAACTTCTTGCAACGAGGAAGATTTAAAATACTTTCGACCATCCCTGCAGAGGAACATATTCATGTCATAGTTGAACTACCTGTGTCAACTGCCACCTCAGGCCGTGAGAAGGAGTTGCTTGATAAATTCGTCGCATTGTGGACATTGCTTAACAAGTCGGTGGGTCTATGGTGCGTATTCTTTCCTGATGGCCGTCAACAAAATTTATGATTATGAATACTTTATTAACCAAATCCTTGCATTGTAGACTTCAATGTTGTTAGCCCAAAACAGAAGGCATTCAAAATGGGTAGTGAATATTGAGCGCGCAACTCTTGACCATCGTCTGCGATATTCAGCTTCATGAATGATGATAATAGATATTCACCTAGAGATGATGTCTCATTCCGTGCAATGTTGCAGTCACTATTATTATCAAAAAAAAATAATAAGTTCACATTATTGATCGAGACTCCATCGAAACCATTCGATACGTGGACATTTCCAATGTATGCCAACTCTATGAACTCAGTGAGGATCCGAATCCATATTACATTTTTTTCATGCGGATATGTAGACCTAAGAAGTGAAAGTTTCAGACTGTTATTAGTCACCTAATTGTTAAGTTGAAACTTCGTTGAAAAATTACCCCCGTTAACATGGTTATGGAGGAGACGATGAAATTTATATATTCTTTCTGTTACCTGGTCAGTTCTACAATAATTTCAAAATAGTGAAAAAACTTGCCATGGATCAGAATGGACGAGGAAACTTCGGTTATGCAGTAGAATGTTATTCAACTAATGGGATCATTGATTTGGTTGGTTTAAAAGAGACAACTTCAGAAAGGATTTTGCACAAATAGAATCATTTTTAGCATTTCATAAATGAAATAGATGATGATTGTATGGGGAATTGTAACGGATGCGGAAAAATGGTACTTTATGTAATGTACACGAGACGAGGAGAAACAATTATCATTTAAGCTATCGGGGCCAATAATCATTATATACAATGATTAGAGGAGAAAGCACAGAAGCCAGTATATATTTCACAAAGTGAAGAGAGGGTAATAAAGAAGCATAGATCATTGAATCTTATAGAAAAATAGGAAAATTTTCATCATGTATTTTTGGATTAGTCACGAATGTAGATGTTATTCAATATATTTTAATACATAATAAAAAATAACTATTGATAAAAGATCACATTAAACATATTTTTTAAAAAAAAAGGTCTAGAATAAGGACACTCTTTTAAATAATAGATTATCTTACCAATATTAGTATAAGATGACAAGATTTGTCGTTTAAGGATATGACCAATTCCTTCCAATAACATTTTCCGTTGATCAAATAATGATTTCACCTTTTCAAGAGATGGAGCCGGTTTTTTCTCATTTAAAACTTTCCCATTTTTATATTTTTCGGGCTAAATTATTAAATCATTAAATTATATAAGAATATATAACCAATAATAATAATACTTACATTAGATCACAAAGTACAAATACTACGATGTCTGTGAATTTCTTTTTTTTTTTTTAAAAAAAAAGAATTAGTTGTGAAAACCTTGAAGAACGTTCACCATCATTAAGACTGTGGCTACTATGAGCTTTCAATTTGCTTGGTATTTATCCTATTCACCACTTTAACTCCGGAGCAAATAATCACGGTGATAAAAAGAAACCGAGAAGTACGTTACAACAGACAGAGTCTATTATGTCCATGATGAGCTTTCATTCTCAGGCATTTTACTCCAATTAGTGGCAACATTACTTTGGATACATAGATTCGACAATATTCTCATCAAAATTTTGCTTCTTAAAATTTCAAGAGATATTTCGAAGGACACATGAATAGCGATTCGTGTAACTTGCTTGCGTCAGGTATTGAAATATAAAAAAAAGAATGCCAAATTTGTATAATTTCTTCTTTAGGATTTGAAGTAACGTTTCAATTTCTATATTAGATAATGTATTAGGTTAGGTAAATCTTTCTTTGTGTGAAAAAGATACCTTTCTCGAATAACAAAAGAGTTTTGATTCGAATTGCAGAAAATCAAAAGATTCAAAAACTTGATGATAATACATTGGGAAATATTAAGCCAATTGTAAGGGGAAGAATTGGTGCAGTCAATCATTAATATGCTTGTTTTTTTGATGAAAATAGTGATAATTTTTATAAAGTATTCATGAATGAGGTAAATAAATTTTTGTTTACAATAATTAAGAATATTTTTGAGCCGAAATTAATTATAATTTCTTTTTAAATTTTTAGTTACAAAATATTAAATCAGTTAATTACTACAAAAATATTATTAAATATTATGGAGTCAGTATAGGTAAAATAAATTATTATTTAAATGTTATTTTCAGTTAAACAAAAAATATTAATATATATAATAACTGATAATAATACTATTTAGCAGAGAAATTCTATCTAGTCGCCAAAGGTGATAATTTAAGACGAAATAACTTATAAGATCTCGATTAGCTCAAGATATAACAAATGGTTTATTTTATATTCATGAAGAATATTGTTCATCGGGATTTATTAAGCATTATATAAGATGATTTTGTAAGTTTATAATCTATACAATTTCTTTAATAGCATTCAAAGAATGTTTCGGTTCATAAAGAAAATTATTAATTACATATTTAGGTTTGTCTAAACCATTAGATACCAATTCTAAGTCCTTTAAAGGGAGGAAGATGTGCATACTCAGATCCTGGATATTTACGAAATTCGATAATGTATAGGTTTATAGTTTGGAGTTCTTTTTTGGAGCTATCAAGTGGAAGACCCTTCATTTACCAAGTTTAGGAATATCTAATTGATTATTTCTGGTAAAAGAGAAGCACCCATTAATGGAATATCAGTGGATTATATCGAATGCACGGAAAGACAACGATCCGAATAAAAGATTAACTATTGAAGATATTTATGATTTTCTTGAAAATATTCAATTCGAAAACATATATTATAATTCTAACGAAAATAATCAATTAAATAAGTTTAAATCATTGGAATCTTACAGTAGAGATTCTATGTTAATTGAATCAAATAATTAAATTTCTTTCGGAACTTCAATTAATCAAGCAAATTAAAAATCGCAGGTATTTCTTTGATATTGATTAATTTTTTTTTAACAAATTATTTATTGTTATTTAATTATTTATTGACCATATAGAAATATTATTTAATTAAAAAATGTTCTATTGGTTCTATGAAACCCTGAATAATCATCAACTCTTTCTCTTAATTCTTGCGATCAAGAATGGCTCAATATTAAACTTCAAAAATATGGATATAATGTTTTTGAAAATCTTGAAGGTATTGGTGAAAGCATTCAAATGCTACACCAATGAATGGTAAAATAAAACGACATTAAAATCGCTCGTTTGAATTATCTGTTAATGAGGTAAATACTATTCCAATTAATATACTGTAAAATTTATTATAAATTGAATTTCACAAAAAGGTAAAAAAAATGTGATTAAATCTAATTAATTATATTTTGATATAGAAATATTTAAATGATGAAACATTACGTAATTATTTGAAATCAAATTTTAAAAAACTTGAATGACGCAACAATCAATTAATTCTTTTTTATAAATTATCACTTTTTTTCTAAAAACATTCCTATTTATATTCTTCTTTTTTTAAAAAGATTTTTTAATAAATTATTTAAATTATTAATATTTTTTTCTTTGTTTTCAATTAACATTTGCTCAACAATAAATTGAACATTTTCATTCATGGAGATATAGTAATTGTTTAAATTTAATTTTTTTTTTTATGAACAATTATTTTTTAATTCTAACATAATTCTTTTTTTAGAATTCGGAGAATATTCTTGTCCATAATAATACTATTGAGATCAGTAATTTTGGTATATCCAAACTTGTTATTATTGAATCTTTCGATTTATTTAATTATTTGGGAAATACTCTGATCCTATACTTAGGGAAAATTTATCAAAACTAAAGCATTTACATATAAAGTGTTGGAATTTTACTGTGGGGAATCACAAGTGGAAATTCATACGAATCATACGAATCGATTACAAAATGGATTAGAAAATTGGATTTTCAATAGATTATTGAATCACGGCTCGGATCAACGTCCAGATATTGAGAAAATTACGCGAGATCTTCAAAATGTCGTAAAATGATCATTAAAGTTAGTATTAAATAACCATTTTGACTCATAAGTTCATGTTGATTCAATACCGAATAATTAATTTTCAATCAATTAAATATACCTAAATAATTGGAATGAAACAGGAATTACAACTTAAACGTCAAAATGCAAAGGATCAACAGGAATTACGACAACTCAAAAGGAAAGAATACAAAACATCAGTCAGAATTACAAAAACTCGAACTCAAGAATGCAGAATTACAAGAAAGTATCAACAGAATAGGGTTGGCTCAAAATAACGAGAAGGGTACGGCTATTTTTTTGTTTGATACTTTTATTTGTCGGTCACGGGATATTTTATATGTAAAATTTTAGAAGATAATTTATTTTGACCAAAATACTGGTAAACGTGAAGATCAAATTGTCAAAATAATCTTTACTTTAGGTCGATGAATCGATCGCATTTTTTATATTTAAATCATTTTTTAATTACGTAACGCGAAATATTTTTTCATTTATTAAATAAAATATTTGATATCACTTTATTAGATAAAGTGGTAAAATTTTTCACATTTTTTTTTTCAATAATAATGAACATTTATAAATAATAAATCACGTGACAAATTTCAAAGATGCAAAGGTTACCGATAAACAAAGAACGTACTGAGATTGGATTAAAGCTTTTAACGACATCTCGAAAACTTTAATGCACGGATTCGAAACTAGCACTTCATTTATTAGTACGAGATTACGGATTGAGCACAAATTGGTACTGGCTTTGTGTTCATCCTATGTTTTGGACTCAGGAATAGATCCTCAGTCTTTCGGAGAGCGATATCAGCGGGAAAATAGTGGTCCTCTGCTTTCATCTTGTGATGTAATCTTTCGTCTTTGTACACAACTTTCACGGGCTCTGTTTTCTGTTAGATCATCTTCTGCTTTGGTACTGCAATAAATTGAGTCCCTTATTTGATCTGTGAGACTGTTTTTGTTATATATATTTTCTGACTTTCAATATAATGAGGCCAAATCTCAATTTGTCATTAAAATGTGGGAAGATATCGAAAAGTAAAACTTGGAAACAAATTATTTTCTATACACTTATGACGCAAAGAACCATTTTTTCTCTGCTTAATATATACTTTACCTTTACATTCAGATTAAAAATAGAAATGACTCAATCCTCAAATCCAAAGATGATGAATTGCGTAAATCCTAAGATGATGAATTGCGTATAGACTCACAACAAACATCTGGACCAAGATTATAAGATATGCGATATTTAAGAAACTTAAAGTATTCGGTTTTCAAAGGTAACAGCAATATTAGAAATATAGGTATTCGAGGAAGCTTTAAAATCTTTATAATTTTTCAGAAGAAACGTCGCTTCCGTGCATTCTTCGCGTTTTGGCTCTTTTTTTACGATAGTAGTGTTACTGTAGGTGGATCTTTAGTCAAAATTCGAAAAAAACCAGATTGACGGATTGTAAAATCCTAATTTTGGAACCTTTTCTTAGATTATATTAAAAATTTTATTGAAACTTAGTATTTTTATCGTAATATTTTAACTCAAAAAATCATTAAAAATATCACACATTGAATGAAGAAAAGGATTTCCTTGAGTTTTGCGGTTAAACGAATAACTTTTTAAAATTAGAACTTGAAAAACGAATTTAAAAGAGTTTGGAAGAAAATTTTTTAAAAAAAATCGGAGGCAGAAAATTTCGAATTTATGCGTTTAAAAAACGAAGTTGATCCAAACACAAATAATTATCGTACCCAGCCCATATAATGAAAGTTAAAAAAAATTATGGATAATATTTATTCTTATATTAAGCATGCAAGAATTAACCTGACCTACAACGACTGAGTCTATTGTGGCCACGATGAGCTTTCATTCTCGGGCATTTTATTCCAATTTAGTGGCAGCGTTACTTTTGAATACATAGAAAAGAAATATTTTCATCAAAATTTTCCTTAAAACTTCAAGACTATATTAGATAGGTCTCTCTTTGTGTGACTTTGGTTTGTTAGTGGTCTAAAAAAATCGGCTCGGCTAAGCTTATAGACTTAGCCGGATTAGTCGTCTAAAGCTAAAATTTCTTAATAGAAACAAAATTTGGTATGTTTATTTTTCGATACTTTAAGTAACGTGCGCAACTAATTGATTATCAACTCATATATTTTGTTTAAAGCTTTTAATGTAACCGTTCGGTTCGGTTCTAATGTTGAACTGAAACCGAATCAAAATTTAAGAACTGGTTCGGTTTGGAACCGAAACTAAAAAATACCAATCCGAAACCGAACCAGAACTGAACCGAACTGAACCGTTTGCCCCAGTTCAGAAATGGTTTTTTTTTTTGTCAGAGTTTTTACTTAATCAAAAATATGGAGTATTAGGGATGGGGGTTAATTAACCATGGTATAATAACCCTGGTATAATAACGGTATAATATAAATTATCCAATCAAAATGCATGATTATTATATCCAAAATTTAGATGCCGAAACTTCATTTTTTTTTTATTAAACTCAATGTCTTGCGAGTTTCCTTTCTAATTTGATGAAAGTGTAGCACCTCAGCAAATGAAATAATTACATCTGAATTATAAAACTTTATCCTAAAAAGTAATTATAATGGGAAAAAGAAAAGGTTCAGTATGGAAACATTGAACAATACTTGTAGAAGAAGATAATGAAAATAATGAAAGTAATAAACCACATCCTCGTGTAAAATGTAATTACTGTTCTAAAATTTTTGATCGTGGGATTGCTACTCGGATGTAAGTTCACCTTGATAAAGATTGTACTAGAGCACCTGATAATGCAAAATCGAAACAAAAGGCAAATACATTTTTTAATAATGAACAATCAAATACTGAGATTAATACATCTGTATCTACAATTAATCATTCTCAAAAGAAGAGAAGAATAACAACTATAATAGACAATTTTATTGATTGAGTATCTGGAGAAGAACAAGAAAAACTTGAATTTATGCTTGCAAAAATAATATTTGCAGGAGGAATACCTTTTACTTTTGTTGAAAATTCATGTTCTATCAATTTTATGCAACATATTCGTCCATCCTTCAAAATACCCAATAGAAGAAAACTTGCATCTGATTTATTAGACAAAGTTTTTGATGAAGTAAATGAAGAATCTGACAAAGAAATTTTATCAGCACAGAATTTATGTATGGTTTCAGATGGCTGGTCAAATATTAATCAAGAATCTGTACAAAATTTTATAATTTATACCCCCAAACCATTTTTTTTGATGCTACTTATTCAGGAGAAGAATCACATACAGCTGATTGGTTTGCAAGTGAAATAATTAAACAAATGGAAATTATTGATATTAAAAAGTTTTCAGCTGTAATCACAGATACAGCTAGTGTAATAAAAGCAGCATGGCGAATTATAGAACAGAAATATCCAAATATAATTTGTTTTGGTTGTATTTCTCATATTATGAATCTTTTATATATAAAATTCATGAAATGAAATTAATAGTAGATGATGCAAAAGATATTACCAAATATTTTAAGTCTCACACACAATCAATGGAAAAATTTAAACGTATTCAATGTGAAAATTATGGTAAAGAAATTTCATTAACTTTACCAGTTCTCACACGATGGGGTATGCATCTTAAATTTTTTCAATCATTACAAGTATCAAGAATTGCAATAGAACAAACATTAATGGATTCTATTATTATTATCATCATTATTATTATAGCTTGAGAAAATTGATTAACTCTTAAGATTATTGAGGCAATCTTCCGCCATTAGCAATAAATGCTAAATCATCTTGTTTAACTCGACCTGAATGTCAAGATGAATGCAAAATGAATTGTGAACTTTGTTGATGACGATGTCTTGAATGTATTTGATCTTATAATACTATTATTTTTAATATGATTGGATGTGGTTCATAAAGATGAATCGTCGTTGTGGTTGTGGTCCAGTATTAACAACTGATAGAGTATTATATTGAGATTGAGGAGGTGATTATTGCCGCAAGAATGACTGTTGCTGCTGCCGTTGCTGTTGTTGCTGCCATAGTAATAATTGCTGTTGATAATTGCTGTTGATAATTGCTGACTTGAATTACTTGGTGACCCCAGGACCTTGAAAATTCGCAATAGTGGGAGTTGTTGAAAGGTTATCTTTTAATTTGTTGTTGTTGTGATGAAATTGATAATCTGAAGATATTTAACTTTTTAAATCTTCAAGATCCGATACAAATTGTTGTTGTCGAGTTTTAAATTGTTTTGCGATGATGATAATGCAGAAGTAGAAATAGTATTTGATAAGGTCGTTATTATGCATCGCTAGTTGAGGCTTATCAGTTATTTTTATTATATTCTTTGTCATTTTTGACGTGTCATCATTACTGAGAGGAGGAGATGATAAAGTCTTATTTGAAATATTATTATTATTGTTATAGTTATTTGTAATATTATCATTCATCATTAGTAATGTCATCACGTTGTTGTTGTTATTCATTATTAATCTCATCCATTTTCTTCATATTTTCCCAAACTTTTTCTACAATATTGCCTTTTTCTGTTGTTGTCGTTTGTACTTCTAAACATTCGAACCGATTGAAAGTAATTGAGGATTTCTTGGATCAAGAGGTTCTTCTATTTCTTCATCAGGAGTTTTAGGAAGTGCATCATTTTTAATCATCAACATCATATTAGAAGTCGTTGAATCAAATGTATTAACATATAAAGAAGCTTTTCCCGATATTTTGGTATGATAAAATGATACTTCGTCACCTCCTTTTGTTCTATTATTTTTATTATTATAGCTATTATTCACTGATGGCTGATGAATTGGTTGCTGAATTAATTGTGGATCTTGATATTGTTGATTTTGATAATGTTTATGATAATAATTTCGAAATGAAATATGATGTACATTTTCTAAAATTTTCGTTGCCGATCATTTCGATCAACAAACGTCTACTATATTTCACTCCATTTTCTGATGGTCCCACAAAAATTCACATAAACCGGTGGATTTAAATATAAATATAGAATAATGTCATTATTACAATGATATATTTGTGTGGATACAAGTAAAGTAAATATAAATAGTATATAAATAAAGTGTGCCTAGAATATCTAATCTTTGATGAATATTGAATATCTTTTCTACATTACAGTTCTCCAATGAAACACGAATTCGTTCACAAGGCTAAACATTTATATAAAATTAAATAAATTCATTTAATCAAATGCACACGTAATTAAATGCGCAAAAGATTTGTTACCACATCATCAGCTACGCATATAATTGATATAGATTCGCATAATTCCATAAAAATCTCTTTTAAAAAATATTGAAACCTTTTAATGATCAAATAGTAAATTAATATAAAAATGAATCCAACTACAAACAAATATAACAATAAATATATGCCTTTCCAATCATAATTCCATTTTTAAGGGGTATCCGCTCATCTTTAATCATATATTCCTGATTTATTCAACGTTATTTTTATAATAAATGTATGTGATAAAAAACGATTATTTTTTACCTAGAAATTTGAGTTTTCTCTAATTTTAAATTAAGTTAATAAAATATAAATAATAGAATATAAGTAATAATAATAAAATTTATATGATGCGAAATAAGATATTATAAATAAAATATTTTTAATTCTTCCCAATTCACTATTCCTTTTTGTAATAATCCTGTAACCTGACCATACTTTTCTTTTGCCTAAATATTTTATAATAAATGTTTTATAATAATTATTAATAAATAATTTATAAGATTCAATCTAATATTTACTTATTTTATTTGAGCCATAAGAGTTGTCTGCTTATCTCTGATACTTCTTTTTACAATTACTTGTCACTTTATATTTTTTGGTAATTACAAAATACATATTTGTGTGGGGATTTTTTTTTGTATGAATGAGTTTGAAAAATAAAAAATAAAAAATAAAAAAATAAAAATAATGAAAATAAAATAAAAAAAAAATAAAAAATAAAAAATAAAAATAAAAATAAAAAATAAAAAATAAAAATAAAAAAATACCTTAACTCTCTTTTTATCTTATTGCATCTAATCTTGTCTCAAAAGCATTATGTAATGTCCTTTATATTCATCATATAATTATATTCTATATTAAATTTGTTAAAAAAATATATTTTATAAATGTGTATGTAAATAATTAATAAGATCAATCTCATCTTTTCCTATTGAAATATTTTATAATAATAATATTTTTATTTTTGTTAAAAAATTTGTAATATTAAGAATTACAAAATAAAAAATCATTTAAAATTTAGAGCAACTATATAATGGAATTTAATAAACCTTCCATGGAATATAGCTTAAACTTCACATGTAAGTTCAAACGAGTGCGAAACTAGCTTCTTCTTTACCCTGATATAAATATATATAATTTATGCATAAATAATTTAATGATTAAAGTAATTGCGAATTAGATATAAATTATAGAATACAAAGTGGAAATTAACCCAAAAATTATTGGCAAATATTTCGGATATATACTCTCTGACACTATTTTTTTTTAAATTGATAATCTATCTATAACATACTTTTAATCCATAAAATTGAATAATCTACCTGAATATCTATACCATTTTGAGATAAAATTTTACTGGTTCTTTACAATGTCGCCTGATAAAAGTACTCACCGTGTAACAGATGGAAATGAATTCCGAAATCCTTTTATACGACGATTTTGAAAATTAAATAATAAAAAAATTAACATCAAAAATTATAATTTTGGCAATAATAAAGATAAAAGGAACAAAAAAACTTTTATATAAAATTAAATTATATTATAGATTGTGTAAACAAATAAAAAATTATCAACTTTATTTCAGTAGTCAAAGGAGAAACTTGTCAAAAGTAATAAAATAAGATAAAGCATTAATGTATTTTAATAAATTATTAGGAAAAGAACCAAGTAATACTCTTGCATTAAGACTGCGAGAAGAAACTTCTCTATTGTTAGAAAAGTATAATGAAGCATTAAAAGATTTTAATAATTTATCGGGACTAGAACTAAATAATACTCTTGCATTAAGACTACGAGGAGAAACTTATCAAAAGTTAGGAAAGTATAATGAAGCATTAAAAGATTTTAATAATTTATTGGGACTAG